CTCCTTGGGGCAGAACGGTAGGTCGTACGATTAACCCGTTTATTCTAGTCGCCCTTATTGCCCTTAACTCCCCGTTCGTAAGTCACCGCGAGTAATCGTAACGTCGAGGGCTACCCTAATGTAAACACCGGGAACGCGAGTCGCGAACTCGCGGCGCCAAGTGCGACTCGCCCTCGACCGAGATCCACTGAGACGTGGACCACTGATAAACGATAACGTTTTCGGAAACAGCGTGATTTCCGATGTCGAGGAGCGGCGGGTTCGCGACTCGTTCGCACGGAACGACCGCACGAGGGACTTTGTATTTCAATATTTCGCGGGTTTCTCTTTTATACACGAGCGACGTTACGTAGGGATGTTTTCTCTCCCCAAAAAGAAAGAACGGAGGGGGTTATCGATTCCAGCAATCCCGGAACCGGGACAAGAAGCGATCTAGGGGGGAGCGGAAGTTGGAGAACGCGCGCGCGACTGGTATAGATGAAATTCCGGGCCATTTTCTCCGTGCGCTCATTCGGAACGCGTAGTATTAATCGAGCTCGCGTGAAAAGAACGCGCGTCGCGCGATTTCGAAGCCCGTCGAGGCGGATTCAGATCCGCGCTGGTCTCGCGAACGAGCGGTCGTGAGGAAACGTTCGCGACGAGGATCTTTCCTACGAGATAGGAGACGGAAACGCGTCCGTCGACGTCAATTCGGACGCCTCTTCGCGCTATCATCCAAGTAAATTTGTTCCTCGCTCAGCCTGGATTCGTCCCGCGGTAACGCGGACATTTTTCTAGTCGATTAGTCGCGCCGCGATTGTCCGCGCGCGCAAAGGGCGCGAACGAGATTACGCGCGGCTCTTTTTTGTAAATCCTCGAGGGTCTTTAGCGCGTCCTGTAAAACCGCGCGCGCGACGCTTTCAACGCCGGTAAATAGAGTGCCTACATTTGCATTTGACGCGAAAAAAAAGAAGAAACACCGCCTATTTGACGCGCGCGGCGATTTAAACGCTCGGGCTCCAGCGACGCGAGACGACGATGTTAAACGGCACGTGTCTCCCGCCCCCCGCGATTCGAGGGAAATTTCTCGCCGTTATTTCCGCGCGTTGGTCTACGTTTAACAAGCCACGCCCGCGTTTCCCTGAAGGGAGAGCGACGGGAAAGAGGATTGCAGGGTTTCGCGCGAAACGGATCCAATTTCAATTTGTCTCGCCCACTCCCTGCGCGCGGGCAGACACCTGACGCGTGACTGAGCTCCAAACTGTTCGGCCTATAGCCTCCTCTTCTAACCCTCTAGCTTGTAATCCAGATACGTTGGGCCCTCTCCTCTCCTCTTACGTTTGGACGCTTCGTTTCTCTCCTTTGTCGATGTAGCGATTAAAATTGTGCTTAAAGTAAGAAAGAGGAAGAGCGTTGTCATGTAAATTTCACGACTGAGTATATCTTAAGGAGACGATTCCACAGACACTTACACGCATACACAAAGAACACACACACACACACACATACACACAGAGAGAGTGTCCGATTGGGACGGGTTTTTTCTCGTACGAACGCGATACCTATTGTTAATTCAGTTCTTGCCTTAGTGCTAACGATAATTCTGTATATGTGCAATGTAATTTTGTTACCAAGTACATTATACGATTATCGACTATTTGTAAATAAAGGAGAAAATTGCCACGCGTATAGACGCGAGCGTGACTTCCTTCCCGCTGATAATTCCTATCCAGAGTGCTGTTCATTCTTTTGATCTTGTTGTCTAAATGCGATCGCGTATAACCCGTTAAAACGAAACGGACAATTTGGTTCCGCCAGTACCAGTATGGATGGCGACCACCCAAGTAGAACAAGTTAATCACAAAAACGTCAATGTGACATTAAAATGACGAATTTTACGTCATAAAATGATCGACATCAAGATTTACTTCGCAATGACTGACTAATGACCATGATATTCGTGACGTGTATAATAATATATTATTACAGATTACATGATCAGTCATGTATTATGTTTGTCTTATATTACTTCGATTTATTTTTGATGTATAATACTTAATTAACTTTGCTTGGTAAAACGAGATTAACTTTACAACCTTTCGATGTCTTAATGATGTCACAAATAGGTGCTCTCGGTGGGCTATTTTGACGTCACCATGATGCATAAAAAATGATCGAAAAATGATGTCATCTTGATGTTTTCATGACCAATATGTTCTACTTGGGCACGTTTCGTTAAAAGACTCAAGTGCATATTGCTGAGTATTTACATAAAAAAAACGTGCTATATCCATTAAATTTAGCAAGATTAGTCACGTCGACCAGGTAGCCTGTTCTCTGATATTCGCGCTTACAATATGAATAACAACATTTTTGCTTTTTGGAACATACTCTAACAATCGCACAGCATGAAACAGTGTTAACGGACGTGTCAGATGCTCTGAGTGTGCAGCTTCCATGATATTGCGTGACAATTTCGAGTGAGTTTGAAGATTTATGTAAGTGCGTATAAATCCCTTCATGTTCTGAAACGTACCCGTGTTGGAAACTTGCTACGGATGTTGCAGATTCAGATCGTTGATTTTCCGAAATAATTATCACTTCGTGCACACCTGATATATATTGGTTAAAAAGATACAAAACTTTGATAAAATTGTCGAAAAGCTTTATCATTACTACAGAATTTTCTTAATATTAAAATTATTGCGCATTTCGAAGCGCTATTTGAAAATGTATTATTTACGTACGCTACAAATTTCAAGTGCTCCAATAGTGCTCCAATTATAGAAAATTTTTGTATATGCAAATTTTGTATATTACAATACACAACAATTTTCAATAATTGAAACACTATTGCAACAGCATATTCCTGAGACCAAATCAAGTTAAAAAGTCCTGTACTACTTTTCCCTCCGACAGTTATCGAGATATCCTAAGCTAACCATGGAAAAAGTTATAAATTTTCTCTTGAATATCTCAAAAAGTATTAGGCAAGTAAAAAAATGTTTCAGACAAACAAAAGTTATTCATATTAATTAGTAGAATAAGATAGTATAATAAACAATAGGAGTTTTATTTAAAAACTTGAAGGTAACCTTTACGTGATCTTCAAGCAACTCGTCATGGTCAAACTAATGGCACCGTCTTATGTCCCCCTTCGAACCAAACAACATTTCTCTGAAACGTTTTTTCTGCGATGAAAAGTAAAAAGTCATTTGGGGTGGGAGACATTAAATTGGGACACCCAGTATATACATATCCCAAGGAGC